CAGCCTGTTCAGGAAGGCCTGGCGAAGGGGAGGAAAAGTCAGCACTTGTCAGCGGTGGTGGGGCAGGACGAGGAGCCTGCTCAGGCCAGCCGGACAGAGAGAGGGCAGCAGGGGTGGGGGAGCAGTCCCAGCCAGCTGGCACAGGAGACATCCAGGGGTGCCAGCATGGGTCCCAGTAGTAGAACCTGGAGGAGGGCTGTAGGAAGGCCAGGAGGTCACGAAGGGGTCTCCTGTTAGCCAGGGTTTTCTCCTTCTGGCTCTGCTGGAGGCATCAACGGCCTCGTTCCCAACATCAGAGCCCAATTGTCCTCTACCCAGTTACAGCTGGGGACAAGCTGCCATCACCGGCATCACCGTCACCTTTATGTCTACCCACCTCCGCTCCTGAATCGGCTTTGGGGAAGCTGCCCTAGGAGGTCTGCAAAGGGAGACTTGCTTAATGCAGCAGCTAAAATCCAGGATTGTGGAAAGATGATACTGTGGCTGCTGCCAGGGTACCCGTGTGGCTGGGCATTTCCTCCTCTCTTTCCCTTCTTCCAGGGCTGCTGCTTCAGTGTCAAGCAGATCTTAGCTCCATCCCTGGCCCTCCTCTTTCTGTGACTCTTGGCCTGTGTCCCTGTCTGTAAGATGGGGATGTGGTAGAAGGTGCAGGAGGCATGTGTTTTAAAGCTCCTTGCTGACCATGGGGAGGATGTGCTATAGTGGTGGGTATTGGAGCCAAGCACTGTGATGGCTGGGTTGGGGGAGTCAAGTCAGCCCTCATCAGGACCATAGGAAGAGTGTTGGGGGGATATGGGACACCTGGTGCAGGGCTGAGTGGCCCATAAGTGGTGGTATGAACTAAGTAACCCCTGGCCACAGCCCAGCCCCAGACCCTCAGTCCTTACCCCTGAGACCCAAGATGTGCAGATCCGCTGGATCTAAGGGGATACAAGCCTAAGTCGTCTGCACCCTGGTGCTGGGCCAAGAAGACAGGAACTCTTCAAGGGGGAGAGGGTGGGAGGGGCGGGGAGAAGGGAGTAGCAGACAAGGGGGCATGCCAGGCTGAGACGAGTTACAGCTGTCAGCATTTCCCCTTCATCCCCAGGAGATAAGGCCTCCTCATCCAGGGCAGAGGCAGAAGAGGGGGTCCTTTTTCCTCCTAAGCTCAAGCGTGGGGGCTCTGGCAGTAACCTGGAATCCTAATGTAAGTCCAGAGTGGTTTCAGAAATGCGAGGAGCCATTGGGATATGCGTCCATCCCAAAAGCTTGCCAGGAACACCTTATCTGGCAGGTCCTCCTGTGGTCCCTGCCCCTAGTCCTCCCTGGGGCTCCATCTCCCATCTGCCCCTCACCATGGGGATGAGATAATCTCCCCCAGTCCCTGGCCTGGCTGGGAGCACCCATGTCACCAGGCAGCAGGGGTGCACATGGCGGGGGTGTGACTTGCTGCTGCTGCTGCTCACAGTATCAACAATAGCAACCAGCTTTTCCTGAGCTTCACCCCTGCACAGGCTTGTTGTGAAGTGCTTCATTTAATCTTCACAACAGCCTTTTTTTTTTTTTTTTTTTAAACGGAATTTCACTCTTGTTGCCCAGGCTGGAGTGCAATGGCACAATCTCGGCTCACCAGAACCTCCACCTCCCGGGTTTGAGCAATTCTGCTGCCTCAACCTCCCGAGAAGGTGGGATTACAGGCATGCACCACCACGCCCGGCTAATTTTGTATTTTTCAGTAGAGACGAGGTTTCTCCATGTTGGTCAGGCTCGTCTCAAACTCCTGACCTCAGGTGATCCGCCTGGTTTGGCCTCCCAAAGTGCTGGGATTACAGGTGTGAGCCATCACACCCGGCCAACAACAGCCCTATTATTACCCTGATTTTACAGGAAAACTGAGGCACACCGGTTAAGCAACTTTCTCAGACACGAAGCCAGTCAAGGGTGGAGGTGGGATTCACACTCTGGGGCTGGTGGCAGAATCTCCTTGAAGAGGAGGGCACAGCTGGAGAGAGGAGTGAACAGGAGGGGAGGCATTCCAGGCATGGAGCTGTGAGCTAAGGTTTGGAGGGGTAGTGCACTTGGTGTGGGGTTGTCCTCCTCTTCTTGGGAAAGTGCTTCCTTAACTTTAACATGAGTTATTCTTGTTGCAATGGCTGTGCTAACAGAGAAATAGGTCCTAAAGTTCAGGGAGGCCAGAGGTGGGGCCACCACTCCTATGGACGAATGAAGGAGTGTGGGAGCCATGCGTGCTGGAAGCACATATCTTTCCCTCTCCTGAACATCCCAACTCCAGACAAAGGGGTGTGCCTCCTCCTGGCCATTGAGAAGGTAAAGCCAACAGCAGGAGGTAGAGGCTAAGCCAATTCATTGAGCCAGTGAGGGGTGTGTTGGTCAGGTTTCAGCGGTCAGTCTGCCAAATGGCCACGCAGTTTTCAAGCCATGACTACCTGCCTGTAGTCTAGGCCATCAGGGGTGACCCCCAGTCATATCAGTAGGCTGCTTTGTCTGTTGGGAGGCCCGGTGAGTCAGCGAGTGTCTAGGGATGGGTGGGAGCCTCCATCAGTCACTCCAGAGCTCTCCATCAGCTAGAGAAAATACAGCATAATGGGTTTGTCTTGAGAGGGGTGGAGGTGTCAGGAGGAGGATAGTGGGGAGGGGGTAAGACAAGATGGCAGAGGCAGTGTAGATGGTAGTTATTGGGCAGGTGGTAGTATTGGTGATGGTGCTAATGTTGCCTTGGTGATGCTGGAGGTGGTGGCAGTGGTGCTGGTGATGTACCAGTGGTGATGGTGCGGATAGTGGTGATGGTGGTTATATTGATGGTTACAGTAGTGCTCATGGTGGTAACGGTGATGCCAGTGGTGGTGGTAGTAGTATACTGGGAGGGACTGGTGATGCTGGTGTTGGTGTTAGTGACAGTAATGATGGTTATTGATGGAGGTACCAGTAGCAACGATGGAAATGGTAGTGAATGGGTGCTGTAAATGGAGTGGGGTGGGCAGGGATCAGCCCCCTCAGCAGCATGGATCCCCCATGTAAGAGGCACAGGGAGAGCTTCAGGTTAGTCTTGGAGGCCCCTGGATCCTGGCAAGTCCAAGTTGTTCTCCCTTAAGCCATCCAGTCATTCTGTGTCTACCTCTACCCCAGCCGGCTCAGCCATAGCTGTGGAAGCAAAGGGACTAGGATAGAGGAGCTTAGGCCAGCCAGCCGACACGTGGGGATCTGCTGAGCCTTTCCTGGGGTCCACAGCAGTGGTCCAGCCGAGATCTCAGGGTCCACCTCAGCCCCCCAGAGACACCAGAAGCACGGGCCACCCACAGACTCAAAGGCTAAGGAGCTGCCGCCTCACTCACAGACACGCACACGCCGCCCTATGCCCAGAAATACATGTGCACGTGCAAGCTCACAAACACGTCCGGCTTGCGCCCCACACTGACGTGCTGGACAGTCTCCACGTGAGAACGCACACGGACGGGAACACACAAATGCACGCGCCGGCCACTCGGGGATGCGCCGCCACTTGCGCGCGCACGCAGAGGGACGCGCACGCGGCTCCGCTAAGTGGAACCAGCAGAACCCGAGGCCGGCCGAGCCAATTGGAGACTCCTTGGCCCTGGAAGCCATCGCTGCTGCCGCCAAGAGACGCGGTCAATTAACTTCTCCCTGCAGCCAGGCTCCCTGACCTGGCCCGCCCCATCCCCGACCCGCCTCCTTCCTCCCCTGCCTCCTCTGGGTCCTCCCGCCCTGCACAGCCACGCTTGAACTGCAGGGCCCCGGCCCCGTCACGGCGCATCTGAAGGATGAGGCTCTGCCCCGGAGCTGAGGCGACGTAGCCTTTTGGGAGAGGGGTGGAGGGGGTCATCTCAGGGGACATACCCCTGCCCAGGGGTCGGAGGAAACACGGCCCTGAATTAAGAGGGATGGGGCTGAGGGCTTGACAGCTCCGCCCTGGGGAGGTATCAGAGACCGCCTTAACCTCTGCGGGTCACACTCACGGGATGGCTGGGCTGGGCACACGAAGCTGTTCCCGGGGCGGGATGGTGCCTTTACCCCGACTCCTTTTCTCCTAAGTCAGAGGATAGAGGCTCAGACCCCTCAGCAGCCACCTGCTCAGGAGTGAGCCTCCTCCCGCATATTTCATTTCCCTTCTTATAATGAGGCCAGTGAGTCCCTGTGGGTGACAGCCAGGGCCCAGGGTGTGCAGGCTGGAGGGAAGGGAAAGGACATTCCAGGCAGAGAATAGCAGGAGTGAGGGCCTGAGTGTCATCAGAACTCCGGAGTTGGCTTGGATGGAGGGAGCTCCCAGATAAGCAGTGGAATGAGAGGGACTCCCACCCACAGCCAGCACCAGAGTGCCCAGCCGAACCCAGGCCGCGTGCCAGCAGTTCCTCTATCCTTTCTCTCTTTCTCTCTCTCTCTCTCTCTCTCTCTCTCTCTCGCTCTCTCTCTCTGTCTCTGGATTGTAAGGAGGGGAGGCTTTGAGGCACTCACCATTCACTGGGGACAGCATTGACTGGGGATCTGGGCCAAGATGGAAACTGGTGACTCCCAAGGCCCCCCAGGGTGCCAGTACTTGAAGGACTCCAGGTTGGGTTTGTCTCCCCAGAGTTCACCACTCCTTATCCACCCCTCGCCCCTGACTCACGTCCCCAGCAGGCAGCCGGGATCCTATGTGGATCCATCCTGGGACATTCCATTCCAGTCCCGTGTACCCCTGGGGAAAGGACTGGACAGAGAGTATCAGTGACTGCAGCCTACAGGGTTACTGGCGGGCAGGCAGGAGACAGCCCTCCACCCTTTTTCCGTTCAATCAGGCAGGCCCTACCGGTCAGAGCCACAGCTTCCCATCTCTAAGGTGCAAGCTCCATAGAGCAGATTCTCCACACTCAGGGGAAATCCCACCTTCCCTCTAGAGTCAGGGCCTTTTGAAAGGGGGTAATCCCTCTGGGAAATTGGGATGTCTCTGGGACCTGCTGCTGCGCCAGAAAGTCCTGCCTGTGGTCTGACCTTCGGCTTGGCAGGTGGATGCAGATGACGTCATGACTAAAGAAGAACAGATCTTCCTGCTGCACCGTGCTCAGGCCCAGTGTGAAAAACGGCTCAAGGAGGTCCTGCAGAGGCCAGGTGGGGGTCAAAGGAAGAGGGTCTGGGGATGAGGCCAGGTGAGGGAGGGGCCAGTCGAGGGGGGGACCCAGGATACAGAGCCAGGTGAAGGCTCTCTGTGGGGGTGGACTCAGGTAAAGGGCGCCAGGCCGAAGTGAGGACTGAAGTGGGGTGTGTGGTGCAAGAGTGGAGTCAGCAGGCTCGGGCATCCTTGGCTTGTCCTAAGTCTTGAGCTCAGGTCCCTGTGTTGCCCACCACCAGCGCTCAAACTGATGACTGTCGGGTTAATCTCATCAACTGAAGAGGCCCAGACCCCAACTGACTGAAGGAGAGGAGCAGCTTCCTCGCCTGACAAGTTCTTAGGGTTCTGCAGGGGTTGAGGCTGGTGCACGCCCAGAACACAAGCACACAATGACACACACTCTGTGGCACACAGATTTTGCTCACATTCACAGAGACTCACATGGTCTCTGCAGTCACAGCCCCACCAATGCCAGCCCCAACAGTGGCTCCCAGTCACATCGAGATCTGGGGGGTCAGGTGGGCCTCCTCACTCTGGGTCCTGAACCCAGCCCCTCTTCTTAGTTGTGAAAGCCTGGAGGGAGCCTCTCTTTGCCCCTCACCATCCACCATGGAGCCTCTCTCTTCCTGCTCTACCAGATCCTGCTACCCACATCCCCACACTGAGGCCTGAGGGTGGAGGCAGGAAAATGAACACAGTCATTCTCATCCCAGTCCAGGCTGCCTGGACTCAGCTTCCCATCATTGCCACAGACCCGACATGTGAGGGCCAGTGGGGCCTAGCTTGGGCGGTGGCTGAAGGAATACAAGTCAGAAAATGAGGAAGACTTTGTGGCTAGGAAGAAAGACCTCTCCAGCCTGGGCAACATAGTGAGATCCCATCTCTACAAAAAAAAATTAAAAATTAGCCAGGTGTGGTGGTGCACACCTGTAGTCCCAGCTATAGGGGAGGCTGAGATGGGAGGATCACTTGAGCACAGGAGTTTGAGGCTGCAGTAATTCGTGATCATGTCACTGTACTCCAGGCTGGGTGACAGAGGGAGACCTTGTCAAAAAAAAAAAAAAAAAAAAATGACCTCCAGCATCTCTCCAATGAGAAGAGAGGCCAGGCTCCATCTCAGATGAGGCATCTCCAGGGCCACTGTGGAAGCTGTGAACCACATACTTGAGGGTCCAGGGCAGGGGATAGGGTGGCCTTCTCTGTTCACTCTTGACTGTACCACCTTGCTCTTGTCTTCTCACCACCAGCTTCTTTACCTGCACAGCACTCAGGCCAGACTTCATTTTCGCCATGTAACCTGTCCATTGACATCTCCACCCACTCTGTCTGCTTTCAGCGTGCGCCCCCTGGTGGGGCCTTCACTGCTGCGTGGCCTTGGCCCCCACTCCTGACTCCTGGGTGGGAGGATACTGCCTCTGTTCTGTCTTGCCCATGTTTAGTGCTCACCCCACTAGCTGATCCTGCACTCCCATTCCAACCCTGGGGGACAATCTCCACCTCCTCTTATTACTTCACCTGGCAAGCACTTTACACTTTGTTAAACACCTCCTCACCCATCGTCTCAGATCTCCCAACAGCCTGGGTGTCAGCAGGGCAGGAGACAACCCCCCCATTGTACAAAGGGGGAGTCTAAGGTTGAAGAGTACCCCGGGTCTCCTGTTGTAGCACAGCTGACAGCCATCATTACCACCCTGGTTTCTCCAGCCAACATAATGGAATCAGACAAGGGATGGACATCTACATCTACATCAGGGAAGCCCAGGAAAGATAAGCCATCTGGGAAGCTCTACCCTGAGTCTGAGGAGGACAAGGAGGCACCCACTGGCAGCAGGTACCGAGGTATGTCTCTGCTTCCATGCATCCAGCTGGCATGGGCTTGGATCTGCCCACCCCCACTGCACTGTCCCTGTCATGTGAGCACATGCTTCTTGACTCTTATAGAAAGTAAAAGGCAAGGGGCTGGGAGAAGACAGAGTCTAGTGGGAAGGAAGGGGAGCTGAATGGCTCAGGCCTCAGAGAGAGATGAACAGAGAACTTGCCAGCACCACGCCAAGAGTGGACCCAGGGTTACGGCCCCACCCATGGAGAGAGAGATGACAGAGAACCCTGGGGGACAGAGGGGCAGGGAGAGATACACAAAGACAGAGAGAATGGCACATAGAGAAAGACAGGGAGAGGCATGGAGACAGAGATCAACGGAAAGGCAGGGAGAGACAGTCATAGAGACAGAGGGGACCACGAGGCACACACTGAAGTCTAGGGCTCAGTGTGTCAGAGGAGGTACACGGGGACACATAGTGGGGAAGGCCACAGAAATAGAACAAGAGAGGAGGGCAGTGGCAGAGGGTGGGGCCAGAGGCAGTGGGACAAGTCGGGGAGAAGAGAAGGGAGGGAAGCAGATGAGGAGAGGCAGACACAGAGCCCAGGCTTTGGCCACAGGGCCAGTTTGAACCGGCCGGGTGGGCAGCGGATTCCAGATGGGCCACATCTGGGAGGCTGTGGTCACCCTGTGGCTCCCTGGGGACCAGAGGGAATTGTGGGCCTGGCTGGGTGGGGCTGGGAATATGGCGCCCAGGACAGAGAGCCTTTCACCAAGCCAGGGCGGGTCCAGCCATTGAGGCAGCCTTCCAGGGTGGATGGAGAGTCCTGTGGTTGGAGCCCTACAGAGAGAGAGAAGGGGGCTGTAAGCTGGGAGTGGAATGTGGAAGATCCAGAGGCTGGGGAACCTCCAAGATCACTTAGCCTCCCCGCAGTGAGGCTGGGTCTCCAAAGTGGGATGCCACCCTACTTTGAATCCCACCATTAGCACTGAGATTTGGGGAATTGTATCTCCCCCAGTGGTGGCCGTGGGAGTCTCACAGCAGGTACTCAGGGCAGGCATTGGGTGGTGGTAGAAGCGTGGACCGATGTGGTTAATCCCAACTTCCCAATGAGGAAATGGAAATAGAAAGACCGGGGACACCTGAGTGAGGTCAGCAGCAACTTGGAGTCCAGCTGGCACTGAAAACCAGACCTCCTGCCTCCTGTCCGTGGTCCCAGGGGAAGGGGCACACAGGGAGCCTCCCAGCTGAGGGAGAGTTAATCTGGGTACTTGCTCTTCTTCAAGGACACCTGGAAGGTGGTTCCAAGAGCAGAGAGAAAGGCGAGAGGCCTGGCCTGGGGTTGCGTACTTGAAGAGGACAGGGCCCTGTGTTGTATGACCTTGGCAACTTGCCTAGCTCTCTTGACCTCTGTCAGCCCATCTGGAAAATGGGACCAGTGCCAGTACCTGTATCTCAGAGGCCATAGTAAATTCTATGAGGCCAGTTGGGTGCAGGGCACAGAAATATATTTTCTCCAGAATGCTCCAAAGCCTGAATTTTTCTGCCTGGGGCACACCTGTCCCTGCAGGAACCAACAACCACTCATGGGCCAGGCGTGGTGGCTCACATCTGTAATCCCAGCACTTTGGGAGGCCCAGGTGGGTGGATCACCTGAGGTCAGGAGTTTGAGACTAGCCTGACCAAGATGGAGAAACCCCATTTCTACTAAAAATACAAAATTAGCCAGGTGGCGCATGCCTGTAATCCCAGCTACTTGGGAGGCTGAGGCAGGAGAATTGCTTGAATCCAGGAGGCGGAGGTTGCGATGAGCCGAGATCATGCCATTGCTCTCCAGCCTGAGCAACAAGAGCGAAACTCTGTCTAAAAAAAAAAAAAATACACACACACAGACGTATTCATCCTTCTGGGTCACTAACCATGGCCTTGACTCTCCCTTGGTATCCCCTACCCTGTCTGTCTCTGGGCACAGGGCGCCCCTGCCTGCCTGAATGGGACCACATTCTGTGCTGGCCGCTGGGGGCACCAGGTGAGGTGGTGGCTGTGCCCTGTCCGGACTACATTTATGACTTCAATCACAAAGGTGAGGCCTGCTGGAAGGGGTGGGGATCAGAGGGAGGCTGAGACTTGGAGCTAGGGGGTCAGTGCCTCCAGACCTCCCTGCCTGCCCTGACCTCCCATGGACCTGCAGGCCATGCCTACCGACGCTGTGACCGCAATGGCAGCTGGGAGCTGGTGCCTGGGCACAACAGGACGTGGGCCAACTACAGCGAGTGTGTCAAATTTCTCACCAATGAGACTCGTGAACGGGTGCGAGCCTTTCTCCTCCCCAACGTGACCGGGATAAATTCACTCCCACCCCACGGGTGACCCCTGACCCAGCCCTGACTCCTAACCTTGACTCCTCCAGCAACCTTACCCTGGCCTCTTGCTCTTACCCTGATGCTAACCCTGGGTCCCAGGGATCTGACTGTGTCTCCCCCCGCACAGGAGGTGTTTGACCGCCTGGGCATGATCTACACCGTGGGCTACTCCGTGTCCCTGGCGTCCCTCACAGTAGCTGTGCTCATCCTGGCCTACTTTAGGTGGGCGGGGCGAGAGGCCTTGGGACATCGTGGAGGAGGGGGTGGTGGCCGAGGTCTGATGCAACTCCTTCCCTGCACCCATCACCCCCGGTGGGTGTCCCTACCTACTGCACACAGCCCAGCTTCCTGCCCATGCCCACCTGCCGCGCGTCCCCGTGCCCCCACCCACGGTGATGTCGCGCGCCCCGCAGGCGGCTGCACTGCACGCGCAACTACATCCACATGCACCTGTTCCTGTCCTTCATGCTGCGCGCTGTGAGCATCTTCGTCAAGGACGCGGTGCTCTACTCTGGCGCCACGCTCGATGAGGCTGAGCGCCTCACCGAGGAGGAGCTGCGCACCATCGCCCAGGCGCCCCTGCCGCCTGCCACCGCCGCTGCCGGCTACGTGAGTGCCCCTCCGCCCGCCGGCTCCCAGTGCCGCCACTGGCCTCTGGCCTCTTGGGGTCCCGCCCCGCCCCCGCCTCCAGCCCAGCCCTCACCCTGCCTGCCTCCTGCCAGCCCCACTAGCTTCAGCCACTGAAACCTGTCTCACAGGGTCCCTTGCAACCCTCAGCTCTGCCGCCAACCCTGCTGCCAAGGGCTCAGGGTCCCACATGCCCCGTGCTGCCATCAAGGCTCCTGCCTCAACCCAGTACCCCCCAGCCACTCTACGTCTTCACTTTGCCTCCTGCCCCTGACACCACACCCCACTGAGAGAGCCCCCAAGCGGAGCCTGCCCCTTCCTGGCCTGTTTGGCCTGCACCACTTGTCCCCTCCCACCGCCCCAGCCCCCCAGCCCAGCCCTGACTTCCGGGAGGCAGGCCCTGCCCTCTAACACCAGCTGGTCTCTTAGGCGGGCTGCAGGGTGGCCGTGACCTTCTTCCTTTACTTCCTGGCCACCAACTACTACTGGATTCTGGTGGAGGGGCTGTACCTGCACAGCCTCATCTTCATGGCCTTCTTCTCAGAGAAGAAGTACCTGTGGGGCTTCACAGTCTTCGGCTGGGGTACGCGGGCACAGCGGGTAGTGAGGCGCCGGCAGGGGTGGGATCATGGGCGACGGAGAGGGCAGCCCCACACAGCACATCCCGCCCCAAGTGGAACAGCAGGAGAGAGGCCTACCGCCCTGTGATCCTGACCCCATTCCAGGCTTGGAACAGTAGGGCTTGGCCCGGGATCAGGTTCACCTGGGGTTAGATTCACCTGAATTGAGGCTCGGCCTAAGGACAGGGGAAGGAGGGACCATCAGGCCAAGATTCAACTCAGGATCAGAGTAGGATACTGGGTCAGAGGTCAGCCTGGGGCTGGAACTGGGATCTGCCCACACCATTGCCAGCCTCAGCAGGCCTGCGGGGTCCATGGCCCAGAGCCGTGGGCCCAGCACCTCAGCATCACCTGGGCTTCACAGCCTCTCTGCAGAATGGGTTGCTGGAGCCGTGCACTCCTCCCAACCCCCTACAGGCTCTGGGATCCAGTTACCGATAATTGTCCATTATTGTTGGCAGCTGCAGAGCTTGGCTGGGCTCCGGGACAACTGGCCAGACTGCAGAGGGGTGGGCCGGGTGGCTGGAGCCCTCTCCGCAGTCAACACCCAGAGGCCTGCAGGTCAACAGCCACCACCTCCCTGACCCTCGACTTACATCCTGACCCTGACCTCACCATGACAAGCCCCATAGTTGGGGAGACCTGAGCTGGTCCCAGGAACTGATGCAGGCTCTGGGGCTAGGAAGTGTCCTAGTGGGCTGGCAACATGCAGATTGGGAGTGCGTAGGATCCTGGGGCACAGGAATGTCACAGCTCTTTTCTTACCCTAAATCCAGGTCATACCCTATCCCTCCAAGGGTGGACCAGGCCTAGAGTCAACTTGGTGGTGTGCAGTTGGGGAGGACCTGGGGCTCCCTTCCCAGAGGCACAGCTCACCCAGAGATGCCATGTGCCCCTTGAGCTGGCACAGGCCAGGACATACCAACACACCGAGGCTTCCCTGTGGCCTCTGCTTGGGACAAAAACCTCTCACCCCATCCAGTCTCATCCATGAGGGCTGGGACCTTTCAAACCAGGTTGTGGGAGTGCTGTGCTGGGGCAAAAAAAAAAAAATGCGGAAAATAGGCTCCCGCCCCATGGGAGCTGCAAGTCCAAAGCAGTGCCCTCTGCAGAGGAAATGGACAGGACTTGGATCAGTTAGTGATACCTTATTATTATATTATACCTTGTACCCCATATATGTGCATGTGACATGGAGCCAAGATGGGGGCAGAGGCTGAGCTGGGTTTTGAGGGCTGGAGCCCTAAGGGGAGGCTGTTAGGGCACTACATGGCAGAGTGTGGCTCTGTCACCAAGTGGCCCAAGTGCCCAGGGTCAGGGGCTCAGGGCAATGGTGGGGTAAGCTGGGGGTCATCAAGGATGAGGGGGGATGACCTTGTGGACAGTAGCCACAGCCCCGCACACTGTCCCCCTCTGTGCCCGCAGGTCTGCCCGCTGTCTTCGTGGCTGTGTGGGTCAGTGTCAGAGCTACCCTGGCCAACACCGGGTAGGTCCAGGTGGAGAAGGGGCCCAGGCAAGAAGCACCCCTGGGTCCCTTTTCTTCCAGGCAGCATGTGAGAGGGCATGCCTCACCGAGGCCCAGCCTCAGGAGTTCTCAGTCTAGCCTCCAGCCAGGAGCACCCTCAGGGTCACAGGCGGCTAGTTACAAAGATGCCTGTGAGGGTGGCCTGAGGCCTGGCCACACCCAACCCCCCTGCCCTGTGTCCTCAACAGCTAATGTCACCCGACCAAATCTGGGCCTATGTGGGCAGTCTTAGGATGGGAACAGGAGGGGTGGGAGCTAATGCCTCAACCTCCCCCAGGTGCTGGGACTTGAGCTCCGGGAACAAAAAGTGGATCATCCAGGTGCCCATCCTGGCCTCCATTGTGGTGAGCACGGGTGGGCTGCTGGCCACAGGGGAGGGTGGGATGTGTGCCTGGGCCCCCTGGAACCAGCCCCTGACAGGGACCTAGGAGGCTTCCCTAGACCCCAGTGTCAGAGCCACAGAGGCCGGAGGACCAGCTGATCCACACTCCAGCCCAGAAAGGAAAACCAAGGGCCTAAGGAGCCACCCAGAGACGCAGTGACAGAGCAGAACCTATGGCCGTGGCTGCCAGGCCTTGCCCCGCCCCGCTAGGGTGCAACCTCCAGACGCAGCCCCCTCACTCCCACAGCTCAACTTCATCCTCTTCATCAATATCGTCCGGGTGCTCGCCACCAAGCTGCGGGAGACCAACGCTGGCCGGTGTGACACGCGGCAGCAGTACCGGTGAGCCCACCATGCCTGCCATGCGCTGGCTCCTCAGGGGTCCCTGAGTCCTGGCACCATGTACCCCAGGAAAGACAGTGGCCCCACGAACGAGCCTGGGGCAAGGGAAAGGACCCAGCGTCTGACTCCCTGGCTGTCCTCACCCACCTGGCCTGCCCAGCAGTGATGGGAGGCCCTAGGGGCACCCCAAAGCCAGCCTGCCCACTTGTATGAGGCCCTGCACTAGAGCTGGAGTCTGTGAGGGTGGGACAAACTTGAACCTCTCCTCAAAGAGTTGGTTGCAGGGAGTCTGAGGAACAGGTAGGCGGTAGGTGGCCCCAGGAAGGCTGCAGCTCAACTGAAACCTGAGGAGTGGACTGTGGGATAGTGAGGTTCGACCTTGGAGGGGAGTGCTTGCCAGCTGAGGGCTCCACAGGTGCGAAGGGCCCAGGGACAGGGGGACTGTCATTTGAAGTCCGCTCCGAGACACCGCTGAGAACCAAGGGGCCCTATTAGCACTTGGCCTGGACGGCAGCCATGCAGGTGAACTGGGTTGTCCTCCTGTGGTGACTTGAGCCCTGGGTCCCTTTGAGCTTCCGGAGCCTGGGGCTGGCAGGGTGGGGGGTGGCACGATGCTTGCTGAAGGGGAAGTAGCTTGGCCCTGACCTACCTGCCCCGCTGGCCCAGGAAGCTGCTCAAATCCACGCTGGTGCTCATGCCCCTCTTTGGCGTCCACTACATCGTCTTCATGGCCACACCATACACCGAGGTCTCAGGGACGCTCTGGCAAGTCCAGATGCACTATGAGATGCTCTTCAACTCCTTCCAGGTGCGCAATGCTGGCCCTGGCCTGGCTGAGGGTGGGAAGGGTTCCGGGGACAGGCCCTGATTCCAGACACCCCTCTTCACAGGGATTTTTTGTCGCCATCATATACTGTTTCTGCAATGGCGAGGTAAGCAGGAGACAGTGTTGGCGCAGGGCATGGTGGGGCAGATACCCCAGAGGCTTCCTCAGGCTCATTTCTCCATTCTTCCACCGCGTTACTTCTTTGTTCCTCCAAGAACACCCCTGAGGACATGCTAAAAGCAGAGAAGTCTTTCCAGATGATGCAGGCTCAGGATGTGCTAGGATCTGGGGACTCTTCGGTCACCAGATACTTGGCATAGCCAAGTGCCTTCCCAGCCCCATCGTTGAATTCTCTGACCCAGATTGGAGGACTCAGCCACCTTTGGGGCAATTTGAACCTTGTAGATTCTGGGTGTGTCAGCTGCCTGCAGCCAAACACCCTGTTCTGAGGATGCGATGTAGATTCTGGGTGTGTCAGTTGCCTGCAACCAAGCACCCCGTTGTGAGGATGGGATTTCACTTGGCCTTGGAGTTTCCCAGGAGCCCCCTATTCCTGTTTTCATTCTGTGCTGGGTGTCCAGGGGCAGGGATGGGGCATCGCTGGGGTTGGGAGATACACCTGACTGCCTCACCCCTACTGCCCCAAGGTACAAGCTGAGATCAAGAAATCTTGGAGCCGCTGGACACTGGCACTGGACTTCAAGCGCAAGGCACGCAGCGGGAGCAGCAGCTATAGCTATGGCCCCATGGTGTCCCACACAAGTGTGACCAACGTCGGCCCCCGTGTGGGACTCGGCCTGCCCCTCAGCCCCCGCCTACTGCCCACTGCCACCACCAATGGCCACCCTCAGCTGCCTGGCCATGCCAAGCCAGGGGCCCCAGCCCTGGAGACCCTCGAGACCACACCACCTGCCGTGGCTGCTCCCAAGGACGATGGGTTCCTCAACGGCTCCTGCTCGGGCCTGGACGAGGAGGCCTCTGGGCCTGAGCGGCCACCCGCCCTGCTACAGGAAGAGTGGGAGACAGTCATGTGACCAGGCGCTGGGGGCTGGACCTGCTGACATGGTAGATGGACAGATGGACCAAAGATGGGTGGTTGAATGGTTGCCCACTCAGAGCTGGGGCCAAGAGGAAAAACAGGGAAAAAAAGAAAAAAAAAAAAAAAAAAAAAGGAAAAGGAAGCGGTGTGTGGCTTCCTGTAGCCCAGACTGGGGACTCGCTCCAAGAGGGCGGGGCTGGGAGCCAGAGAAAGCTGTAGGGGGGGCCATGAGTCATGGAGGAATCCTCAGGTCTCACTTTAGAACCAGGAGGGATCAGGCTTATGGTATCATCCAGCAGAAGGGGCCCAGAGAGGCTCAAGTCTGCAGGGGTCACACAGCAGCCAAGTGGACCCACGTGGGAATCCAGCCTCAGCCTCCGTTGCCGCCAGCTGTGGAGCTGCTCTCCACACTTGTACCGAGGCCCCGTGGGGAACCAGGCTCCTCTAGGCCAACTCTTCTGACTGCTGGCCCCCATCACTGCCACCCAGGGCTGCTGGCAGGTAACTCAGGTCCCTGGCCACACCCCCAAGCCTACGGCCCTGCCACAGAGTGGACCTTCCCTGGCTGTCCAGTGGCCACTCAGGGAGCCCTCCACGCAGGAGCCTTAGCATCCACCCGCAACCTGACATACCTCCGTGACTGAGGTTGCAGGAGGAGCACCAGGCCAGCAGGTGAAGGGTGGGCTGGGTCCCTGCTCTGGCTCAGGACTTGTGGGGAGCCAGGAATCTGAGCCCAGAGGGCTGGCTGGGCAGGGACCTGCAAGGTTGGCCACATCCATCCACGACGCATCTGGGACAGTCACTAAGTGTCCCCACCTGATACCCACCTACCACCTTACCCTCTGGACCCTGCCCTCTCCCACCTTGGGCCATTCATGGGCTCCAGAGTGGTACAGAGCCCCTTGGCCCGACACCCTGAGGACTGACCCTACAGCGTGCCCAGCCTGGGCTCTGGCCTGAATGAGCGTCTTGCTCTTGCTCCAGCCTAAAGACGGCCCCGCACGAGCCCCGCCCTGCCTTCCCATCTCCTGCTCAGTCCACCTCATTCTTCTCCATGGACTCAGCATCCAGGAGTGCACCCCATCTCCAGCAGCCCACACACACCCCGTAGGGCATAGGGGAGGGGTCAGGAGGCCCAAGACAAAAAACTCAGGTGGGCATTAGGAGGTGTGGGTGCCTGCTGAGCAGCCTCAGGCCCAGCCCTGCCTGCCCTTCCAGATGACGGACAGGACCAAAGGCTGTCCAAGGGCCTGGTGCACCCGTAGAGCTCCATGTAATGGTTGAGGGGGGCATAGGCCAGTCTTGAAGGGCCGCAGAGCCAGGCTGGGAGCCACTGGAAGTTCAAGAGAGAGAGCAACAAGGTCTGAATGTTTAAAAAGTCCCCATATCGGCCTGGCGCGGTGGCTCAAGCTGTAATCCCAGCACTTTGGGAGGCCGAGACGGGCGGATCATGAGGTCAGGAGATCGAGACCATCCTGGCTAACACAGTGAAACCCCGTCTCTACTAAAAAATACAAAAAACTAGCCGGGCGAGGTGGCGGGCGCCTGTAGTCCCAGCTACTCGGGAGGCTGAGGCGGAAGAATGGTGTAAACCTGGGAGGCGGAGCTTGCAGTGAGCTGAGATCCGGCCACTGCACTCCAGCCTGGGCGACAGAGCGAGACTCCGTCTCAAAAAAACAAACAAACAAAAAAGTCCGCACATCAATGTGGAGACGAGAGGAGGCTGCACAGGGGTTGGAGAAGAGGTGGCCTGGCAGGAAGCAGGTGGCCAGGCAAGGAGATGGTGACAGGGAGGGCAACAAGAGTTGGCTGGGGGAAGGAGACCTCAGCAGGGCAGACCCTCATCCTCCTCCCCAGGGATGTCCAGTGCCGCTCTCCAGGGTCTGAACGGGAGGTTTCTGAAGTAATAAAGCCCATGAGGCCCACTCGCCCAGAAGCATTCAGACTGGGCGCCCCCCAACAGGGCTGTGGCTTCCCCCTCAGACTGGGTGCCCCCCCAGGTGGAGGTGGGCCTCTTCTCTCAGACTGGATTCCCTCTAGAACCGGGTTTGGTCTCTTCCTACAACCAGGGACCCACCAATCCCCACCCACATCCCACGACAGGGCTGTGTCTCCCCACTCAGTCTGAGTACCCCAAAGTCAGGGCTGAGCCTCTGTCTCAGGCAGGGTGCCCCCCAGAGCAGAGGTGCGCCTCTCCTCTGCCCTACTGGGTCACCCCAAGACAGGGCTGTCACCCCCATTAGACTTGTCACCACCTTCCCTTTAGATGGAACTCCCCTCCAGATAGGGCTGTCCTTCCCCTTTGAACTAATGCCCCCAGGACATACTGGGTACCCCCATCTCAGGTTTGGTGTCCCCAGGCCAGGGCCAGGCCTCCCCCACCAGCTGGATGCCTCTAAGAGGAGGACCGCCCTCCCCTGGGGATATCTGCAGGGCAGTGCCAGGCCTCCCCATTTAGGCACCATTTTTCCCCTCGGTCTGGATGTCCAGGACAGGACTGGACCTCTCACCTCAGTCCAAGTCCCCTAGGCTAGGACCAGTTCTCTTCCCTTAGACTAGAAGCCCCCAGGCCAGGGCTGGCCTCCATTCAGAGAAGCCTCAGAGCCCCACCTGGGCCATCCAGGTATTGGCAGCGGAAGTGGAGCCCTCAGCGGGCCTGGCAGGCAGGCAGGACCCTGTTTGCCTTAAGCAGGGGCTGGATCCAGGTGGTCACTTCTCCCTTCAAGGCCCCACAGCAAGGCCAAGCCACAGGGAACACGTAAACATTAGCAGAGCTGGGCGGGGTGGTCAGCAGGGAGGAGGGCACCTGGAGACCCCAACTCCTCAGCCTCCTTGGCTATGGGATCCGGCGCCTTACAGGCTGCCCCAGACTCCAAGGCAGGCCAGTACAGTGGCCAGGTCCTGCTCCCACCTGTCTTGAACACATGGACGGCCCCATCCCTCACTGGCCTGTCTCCCTCAGCCCAGGCTGCGAGAAGGATCGCCTAAGGCCCTTGGTAGGAATGGACCTCCTGGGGGTGCTTGTCCAGCCCTAGAACACAGGCCTAGCCTCAAGGGGAAGCTGAGTGGATGCAAAGCTCCCAACTCAGAATAGAGTCGAGCTCTGCCACCCCCTGTCGAGAGCAAGGACTGAGCTGGGCCCCAAGTGCCTGGAGTGGACGGGCTGTGAGGGGCCACAATTTTCAGCCCTCAACCTGGGAGGTGGCCAGAGGGGGTATGGACAAACAGGAAAGGGGGCTGAGTTCTCTGAAGGTTCAAGAGGGACATGACCCTGCCCCTCCCTCCCTGGGATCTGGGAGGACACAGCCCTGCTCTGGGGGTCTGAGGGGATATGGACCTGTCCTGGGGATCTGAGAGTGCACTGTCTCTGCACAGATTGCTGGAAGAGCCGTCTGGTTGCAGGGACCCGTTGTGGGGGGCTAGGATGAGGGGGTGCAACTCCCTGTCCCTGGTGCCTCCTCAGCCAACTCCAGGAGAATGATCCCAGCCCGAGGCTGCCATGGCCAACTGAAACAAACCTTGCCTGGGAGACTGGTCCCACTGGCTGGGAGGGACAGAGGAGGAAGGGACTCCAGAGCTAGGCAGGGACCTGAGCCCTGGCTGGCTCCAGATGTGGGCTGTGTGGCTCTGGGCAAGCCACCTCCCCTCTCTGAGCCTCAACTTCTCCTCACAGCTCAGGCCCCTGCTCAGGCATCATGATCTCAGTGGGCTCAGGATCCTACCTTGCTCCTCAATAGGCTACCAGGCCCGGACAAGGATAGGGACAGGACCCCTATCCTTCCCTCGGGCAGGCGAGAGAACCTCAGGACCGCCCCCTGGGACCGGCTCTCTCCCTCTTCAGTGCCACGGGCATGCAGGCAGTGGAGGCCAGGTGAGGGTGGATTCTTCTTACTCCAGCATTTTCAACAGGCAGGAGCAGCCTTGGCATGGACCGCACCCTGGCCTTTACCCAGAGGCCACAGTCAGACAACCTGCCCACAACAAACTCATGTCCATACATCAGCAAGAGAGAGGAGCGCGTTGGGTGTCATTCTCCATGTGCGAGCGTTTGTATGCATGCGCTGCTTGTGTATTTCTTTGTATTTGTGTACATGAGTGTCTGTGTACCTGTCTGTGTCTGTGCTTGTTTGTGTACCTGTGTATGTGTGGCCATGTGTGTTTCTATGTGTATGTGTGTCTGGATATACCTGTATGGCCATTTGTATGTGTCTGTGTCTTCTGGTGTGTCTATGCGTGTGTGGTTGTATGTGTGTGTACCAGTGTGTCTATGTATTTCTGTGTGTCTGTGTGCATTTGTATGTCTATTTGTGTATTTCTGTATGTGTGTCTACTTGTGTGTGTATATCTGTGTCTTTGTATATGTGTCTGTTATGTCTGTGTATGTGTGTGTGTCTACGTGTCTATGCTGGTGTATGTATGTGTGTGTATGTGTATTTGTGTATTTATGTCTGCGTGTCTGTATATGTCTATTTGTGTATTTATGTGTATGTTTATTTGCGTATTTGTTGTCTGTGTATTTGTGTGTCTATTTGTGTGTATTTGTGTCTATTTGTGTGTCTGTGTATTTGTGTATATGTGTGTGTGTCTATTTGTATGTGTCTGTGTGTTTGTGTATGTCTCTCTGTGTGTCTATTTGTGTGTGTGTGGACTCGTGGTCTAAGAACGCCGCCTGTGGGTGGAATTTGGCTCATAGACATGTTTGGTTTGGCACCCACAGTATTTTCAACATCTTGAGCCAACATTCAAAATCAGGATATTTCACATAAAAATTCAGCTTTCCAACTTCTCTTAAAAATTCAGAAGCCCTGGCAGCCCTGGGCCTGCATTCCCATGAGGCCACGCTTCTCCCGAGCTGCACAGGGCTGGCCTCCTCCGTGCACCCTCCACAGCCTCGCCCACTTGTCTCGCCCACCAGTGTCTTGAGGATGGCTGAGTTTGTGAACCCAGTATGTGGTCACAACTGAGTGTGAACCTGGCTGTCAGGGAATGTGTGCATGAGCGGGGTGTGTGTGCATGTGTGTGAAATGTGTGCATGCATGTGCAAAGCAACTCTGCATATGAGGCAAACCTGAGTGTGTGCGGTGCGTGTGAATGCCTGCATGTGCGCGTGTGTGTCTGGAGTCTGCATGGGGGAACACGTGT